CGTAGTGCCATTATTTGTTCACAATGGATGTATTGAATTAACATTGAAATTTTTCTGCTTACAGCCCCTCTTTGTTTGGTAAATTTACTTTTTCAACCCTTGGAATAAATAAATTTCCGGTTTAGTCCTTAAACCATTTTTCTTGTCATTTTAACACCAAAACTTATTGCAATTGACATTTATCAGCATATTCTTAGTTGAAAAACAGTTTTAGTCCCTGAAAATACTGTTTTCTCGGTTGTAGCCCCTCTTTTTCGTAGTTTTTACATTTTTGGCCCAAATTGGAAAAATTTTGCAGCTTTGGTCCTTTTTAATTTTGAAAAGCATTTTAAACCTTAGAAAAGGGTTTGGAACACTAATAGTCCACTGTTTTACAGAAAAATACAGTTTTAGCCCCTCACAACAGAAAATTTTGCATAATGGGCCCTTTTGGGCCAAAAATGTCATTTTTAGCCCATTAAGCTTGAAATTTATATTTTTAATCCACCAAAAGAATATATTTCTAGAAAACATTTTATTGAAACTGTTTTGACTACTCTCATCCATCATAATTCGCAATATGTCAATTTGGGCCCTTTAACTTTATTTTTTTAGCATTTTGTGTCCAAAAATGAGTTTTTAGCCCAAAGAAGATGTTATGTAGCCACTTAACTATTTTTCTTGGAATACTTTGTATGTTGTGATATAATTTATGCTAATATCATTTAACATAAATTACATCTCGATTTTTAGGAGTTTATGGCTAGATCCAACATCATAATCACACAAAAACACACATATAAGCATAGAAATCATACAAGGCATACAAAACACATATATATATATATATATATATATGTATATATATATATATATATATATATATATATATATATATATATATATATCTACACTTTCACTTGTATTCCCCCCCCCCCCCATAAAACTTATAAAACATAAAAATAGGGAGTATGAAGCTCACCTTAGGGTGTAGTTTCGGTTCTTGAAGAAAAGATGGAAGAAAGTTTGGTGATTTTTGGCCCTAGCACCCCTTGATGAAGATCTCGAGTTTATGGAGTTTTCTAGGAGTATGATCACCAAAGAAACTTGTTTAGAATAAGTGATCTTATATGAGAGGGGAGTTTTGTAACTTAGACATGGAAAAACCTACCAAAGGATGATGATTATCTTGTAAAATCCTCTTGAAACACAAGCAAAATTTCGAGATTTTGAATGGAGAGGAAGAGAGAAGTCTTGAGTGGTTTAGAGAGATTTTTGTGAGATGTGTGTGTGTGTGTGTGGAGACTCTCGGCCAAAGGAAAAGAAAGAGGGGGAAGAGAAATAAGTGAAGTGATAGGTGCATGGAAACATGTGTTTGTGCATGGAGATCCATGAGAGAATAAAAAGGTGGCAATGAAAGTCAAACCTTCTTCATTTCTTCTTGGATTTGAGCCTTGGGCCGAGAATTTTGAAGGAAAAGGAAAATTTGGGCTTTAATGCCCTCAAGCCCATGTAGAAGTTAGGTTGGATGAGTTTTAACCTAAAAGAAATATAATATGATTTTCATACTTTGTTGGGCTAGTTTAAGTTAATCATGGTTCAAAACTTTTAATTTATTTCATTCTAGGCCCAATATGGCCCAAAATGTTGAAATAAATGTATGTGGGTCCAATTAGAGCCCATTTAAGGGTTCTAAGCCCATGATAGTCAAATTGGAAGCTTATTGGTTCATTGAGTCCAATAAGGAAGTCCTAGTCCAAAAATGGACCTAAACAATAACTTCTAGGGTTTCCAATTGCTTGTTGACTATTTGTAGTACTTGTATGATGTATTTGATTGAAGTTTTTGATGTCGTATAATAAGCATCACACATGCTTTTAAGTTTTTGGTTCAACATTTTACTTGAGTATAGTGATTACAAGACACAAAATTTCTAGTTGTGACAACTTAAAAATTCAACTCTTATAAATTCAAATCCTGCCAAACAATCTTTTACGCCCTCCTCCATTTCTAGTCAATTACTTTTGTTTTTCTCCCTTGAATAAAGCAATGCTCCGACCCAACAACTTCATCCCATTAGCTAAGGTGTGACCGTTCTTTAAAGGTAAACTCCTGCTATAGGGTAAAAATGAACAAACTTGTTGAGTGTGTCAGCTAAGGTGTGACCTCCCTTTAAATGAAAAATCTAGTTAGGGGGTAAAAATGAACAAATTTGTTGAGTGTAGAGGCTTGAGTTGCTTATTGGAGTTATCATAAGCATGGCTACGTATTGGTAGTCCGCTTAAGCAAGTTGCGTATGGCAATTAACAAGCACGGGGAAACACGGACAATCGGAAGGGCTGAAACCAATAGTCATTGTTTTACCATTTAGACGTAGATTATGATTTACTAATAGTTAGCAAAGCAGTAAAATATAATAACAATATTTATATTTCGGTACAACTAATTATTTTAACTTTACAAAAATTTATTTTACAGAATTAATAATTATACATTGACAATTAGCAGATCAAATTATTTTCAATAATTTTAATTTTTCTTAAATCTTTATAATATTCTTTTAATTTTTCTTAGAAACTAACAAACATCAAATAAGATTGTGTTTCTATTTTATAGTTAGTTATTTATATGCATATATAGAAATGCGTATATCATGAACATGGGGCCAAATGGTTAAGTCAACAAATAAAACCAATCTATTATATATAAAATCATTATTAAAGAGGTCAAAAATCAGGGGGCCATGGCCCCCTGTCCTAGAGGCTCCGCTAGGGGTGAGCGCGGTGCGGTTATTAGCTAAAATCTCACCATTAACCGCAAATGATGTTAATCTATTTTCAAAACCGCATGGTACGGTTATTTTTGCGGTACGGTTAGGCGGTTATTTTTGCGGTGCAGTTTTGTTTTTTTTTTTTTTGTGTTGCGGTTATTAACCGCATGAATTTTGTGTCGTTATTTTGTGTGGTTTTTAACCACAGTTTAGAGCATAAACGGTTTTAAGAGTTTAAACATATTACTTATAGTAATATAAAAAACCTTAAGGTATAAGAAAATTAACTTAAATCACAAAAAACTAATATCTTAAAAACATCAAATCAATAGTAAGTAACAACAAATATCTTAAAATTGTCTAATTTCACCATTTTTTAAAATTAAACATAAAATACTTTTGTCTTCTAGTATTTATCCATCTTTCATCCATGAAACCTGTTTTATTTTTAATATTTAATATGTTAATAATTAATAAAAAAAATGTATAGAATATATACGGTGCGGTGCAGTTTTTTTTTTTTTTTTTTTTTTTTGCGGTTTTTGAAAACTAATAACCCCACCGCACCGTAAGTTTGCGGTTTTTGGAAAAAAGAAAATCTCACCATCGGTTTTTATTGCGGTTGCGATTTATGCGGTTTTTGCGGTTAATTTTTGTTGCGGTGCGGTTTTTGCTCACCCGTAGGCTCCGCCCCTATTAGCAAGAGGCTATTTATGAGTAATCAACCAGTATTCCATAAGCGGGCAACAAATGCTCAAGCAGCATAACATGTTTTCTTTGAGAGCAAGTTTTGACTCGCACTGGGACCAATTTTGCCAGCATTGACTTCGGCCCATGATTTTTTTGCCCATTATTGTTAGGTCAACCACTCTATAAATAGTCTCATTTATTTTAATCCTAATGTATTTTACGAAATAGCTTTCTACGACAAGAAGTAATAAATCTGTCTCTCTCTCTCATGTTTGTCATAGATATAACTGGTCATTCATGTGGTCATATAGTTAGAGAATCCAATTTCTAATTTGTATGACGCACATTAGATTCGAGCTTGCCTACATGAATAACATACAATCAAAACAAGACCATTAATGCACATCAAGTACTCATTAAATTGAATGAGAAAGGCCGGATTAAAAAAGTCTAATGGTTGGAAATCTGAGGTAGCAAAATGAAATAATGTCCTAAATCATTTGAATTATTTTTAAGTTTTTTTTTTTTTTTTTTTTGAACGACAAATATAATATAACCTATCTACTCCTAAAATACCACTTAATTCCATCTATGTCCACAACGAGACTTGAACACTCAACCTCAAGGAGGAGGGCAACACCAGATACCGTTGAGATAGAAGCTCTTTGGTAATTAAATTTATAAGAATATAGGTAGCAAAATTACAATTATTTCCACAATACTTTAGAAATCATTAGGGCCAACAACATGTAGAATCAAGATGACAAAAAGACATTATTGTAAACAAATGCAGCATATTTTTATTACCTTTCGACTGTTGACAATGAAAAACGTTAGCCTCATTGGTCTAAGGTAGTTCCAACAAAATAAACGTCCTCATTTGGCGGTTGAGATTTGATACATTGTCCACCTGGTTCAACCTCGCACGTAGGGGGTAATCATCGCATGCACCATGTGTCCGCTTTGCAATGTTTTCATGGACTCCTATATTGAACAACTCATTTAATGCCTTCCTAGGGATAAACTCTACTTATGGTGTGAAAACAGGTCTCAATATATTTTTGAAGTGATTTCAAGGGTGCTATTATTGACCATATGGACGTAGAGGCACGGTATGATTTTAAATAGCAAAGTGAAGATATTATCTACTCTAACTTATGAGGCCAAGACTTTGAGCATTTTATGGTTAAAAATAAAGCTAAATGGTGTAGGGATTTGATATGGAACTCATGGGCCAACACCTTCTATATTGTACAATGTAATTCCTGCTTCTTGAAGTTCAATTTATATAAAGTCAAGCCGTTAAAAACAGCCTCAATAAGATCTCATTTTATTGGCAAAGAAGTGGGAAATTACATATTCGGTTTTTTATTAATAGAATGAAGGAATCAGTAAGTAACATCAACTCTTTTGTACCAATGATAAAGACTAAAATGGTAATAAAAATGCGTCAAAAACCCAAATATATGATGTAAATTTTTTCCTCATAGTTGACTTGTTTTGCAAGCAGCCTCCCCCATGTCTAACAAATGAAGTGTTTCGACACACTGCCGAAAGTCTATTAAACTAGAAGCAGCATTGAATCCAAGTACTCCTGATCGCACCCCTGTCTTGGGATTATAAATTTGGAACCCTTCCCCATAAGTAGTGAGCAACAAATTACACTCGTTGGTCGTTTGCGGTTGTGGTTGGAATTGAAAAGCTCCATCAATTGGAAGTTTACCCGAATCCAAGTATGATCAACATCCATACGATAAGAAATCAAAGCTAGAGAATCTTGGATGGTTGTTATTCCTGTTGTTAGCCAATCCCAAGTGGGTCCAGGCAATGGAATCATACCAAAAACATGAGCACTCAAATCGAATGTCAGTATATAGGAAGGAGGGTATATGTCTTGTGATTTGATATGATCACGAGTTACTTCCCAATGCAACACTCCATTGAATAAAAAAGTCTCATATAAAACAGAAGTAAACTCAGGTTTAGGGGAAGCAACTTCACACCAAGTGCCCGTCTTCACTGCATAAACAAATGAACTATCTTTTTCATATGATATCCAAACAATTTTGTAATCATCACTGATTGGGTCAAATCCAAACCCAATACCTCCTAAAGTGAGTTCAGAAGTCCGAGGACATTCAGGCACTCTTACTTTGCGTCTGATTGAAGGTTTCTATAGAGTCAAATCATTTTTAGTCTTCAAACAGAAAGTTCCATTACATGAACCAACAGTTCTGAACCTATTGTTACAAGGAAACGGAACTAACCAAGGCCCTGCCCTCTGCATCTGACCTAAGTCCGGAACTAACTGCCTCGGACCGAAGTCCGGAACTAACTGCATCAGGCCTAAGCCCGGAACTGACTGCATCGGACCAAAGTCCGGAACTACTGAACATAACATAGCACGCACATATCAACTAGCATAACAACATGGACTGCATACTGAGTCGGGCCATACCCAAAACACATAACACACAAAACCTGTCTGAGCTACGAAGGCATCAAACATTCTAACTACTGCATCGGACCGATGTCCGGAAACTACTACTAATTAATCAGGCCGGCATTGTGGCCTTAGACCCGTTCCTACTGGAAGAAAACTCAGCTCGTAGCCTAGCTGCTGAAAGAACTGCTCCGGAATCTGTCGGCTGTGGCACCGGCTTCACCCTGGCTACAATTTTCATAAGTACCCTCAATCAAATACTGATAATAATACTGAGGGTAAAAAGACTATCTTACCCTCGGTCAAAGTCAACATTCAGTTGACCTGACTCGTCGAGTCCTTACTCTCACTTTCTTGCTTCAGCCCGTTACTACTCGTCGAGTTTGGCATAGACTCGACGAGTTCCTCTTCAAAACTAACACTCAGTAAATTTGCATCCGACTCGCCGAGTTGTATGCACAACTCGTCGAGTTCTCCTTCAACATATGAACACTCTGACTGTGACTCGCCGAGTTGTATGAACAACTCATCGAGTCTGTTCTTGAGGCATGAAGATTGCCTTGGACTCGCCGAGTCAGGGCATTGACTCGCCGAGTTCTTCCACGAATGAGTCTAACCTCTAGCTCACTGAGTCCGTCTCTCACTCACTAGTTCCACTCAGCATAACTCGAAAAGGTGGAAAACAGGGGACTCGCGACTCGACTCGCCGAGTCTGAAGAACGACTCGCCGAGTGGTATACATGCAAACACTATATACTCGATTTTGCTTGAATCCAGTTCATTCGATTCATATATCTGGGTTCTTAGGGCTTGATTAACACATAAATTTTCCAACTTTAAGTGTAAATAACATCAAATGAAGGTTTTAAGGCTCAAAGCACACTATAAGAGTAGATCTAGAGCTTTCATGCAAAATGGCTCCATAAAGGTATTAGATCTAAGCTTCTGGAACTCAAACCTAGCTAAATCCGAAGGCTATTCATCTCAATGAGTCCTCTATGCTACTACCAAGCTAGCAAATGGTTCAAGAATAGCTTTCATGGCGTTCCAAAGGGGATTAAAGCATAATAACAGAAAAGGGTCGAGTTATACCTCACTATACTCTGAAATGCCACAAAGATCTTGGATCTCCTTCTTCTCCTCGTGATCTACCTTCCTTCTTCTCTCAAGATCTTCAAAGTGATGGATTTTAGCCATATGAACATTCCTATGTGCACATGCAAGCCTAATGCTTGGATCTAGGTTTCTCTAATTGAACATACATTGAATCCAAGACTTCTAATGGCTAATAGAGTATAATAACAATATGAAATCAGAGATTAGAAGTTTACGTTGAATTACTTGCTTGATCTTCTTGTTCTTGGAGCTTTAGAGTCACAATTTTCACTCCTCTAATGGCTTACAAACACCAACTAGCAAAGGAGATGATTTAGGAGAGAGGAGAGGGAATCAAATCGGCCATGGTTTCTTCTCTAAGCACAAGTGCCGATTTCCCTTGACCCTTGTGGTCTATTTATACTTGTATGGCTCCTAGGGTTTTACCCTTAAACCCTAATTGGATAACTTAGGCCCTAAGCAATCCAATACCCTAATAGATAAGCCCTTGGATGAAATCTAAGCCTATCCAAAGCCCTAGAATTCCCCCCCCCATTATCCTTAAGGGATTTATAGCCCAAAATCAAACTATCATACAATTGACAGTTTATACCCCTTTATTTAATTAATCTCTTTAAGTCACCAAATTAATTCTTAATTAATTTATGACTTATATTAATCAAATAATAATAATAATAGTATTCCTTATATTATTCTCATAATATATTAATAATATTCCTTCTCTCATATAAATCATCCTGTCAAGTTGCTATGGTGAAGGCAACCCAAAAGGACCATGCACAACCGAATCAAATACTTGCCTAATATAGTTGCAGCCATAGACACTATTCCAACAGTCTCCCACTTGGATAAGTCTAGTAACTATATACACAAGCATAATCCGATTTGCAATCGTAGCTCTCAAAGACGATGTCAAGCTCTTATCTAATCAATCTTCTCCTTCAGATAAGAGATCGTACAGTCCTCTGTTTAGATATCATGCTGACAATTCTATGGAACTAATTTGTCTAGCATTTGGTTTCTCGATCTTCGATGTAGTTGACATAGAACTTAATTGAACACATCAATTCAGTTCTGACCGGTCCTGGTACATAAGTCAAATCAAATCATCGAGCGGCCGAGATATCGCTTTTACCTTCTTAGGATAAAAGTAACAGATAAACTTCGACTTATATGCATTTACTTATTCATTAATCAACTATACACAACAATGCGTTTTATAACATCAAGTTACTGATGCGGTTTCGCATTATCAATGTACAACCAATTAACAAATAACAAACCATATATCTTGGTTTTAAGACCATATGATATTATCATCTTGCGATCACCCTTTTATCACATTCCATAAGGTGATTCCAGCAAGCGCGGGTTTGTTCCAATGCTCAAAACTAGTTCATAAGCACTCATGAATGTTGCAGCAAACTTTTGCTATGTCTAATACCATTTAGACAATCTACACACCAATTCGTGACAATCTTCATTCATACCTACTTCCAACATATGAACGATTGTGGACAATTTGAACAATTCGATTATTCTTAATAAACTCAATTATTCTGGAAGTCAAAACATGCAAAAAAAAATGAAACAATAGTTAAACAATTAACATAAGGCAGTAACATTACTCATAAATAACACTCCTTTATTTAATCATCAAATGTTAATTACATTTATCTATTACACGTTTCTACTACTATCTAATATATACTAATATCATCCTTTAGCCCAATACTCCTAGCATGCTGTAAGTGCTTAAACCTACTCAGTCCCTTCGTAAGCGGATCTGCTGGGTTGTCTTCAGATGATATCCTCTTCACCACGAGTTGTCCTTCTTCTACACGATGTCTAATAAAGTGATATTTTCTGTCGATATTTCGAGATCTACCATGATCCCTCGGTTCCTTGGTCAAGGCAACCGCTCCTTCATTATCACAGAAAATCTCCATGGGCTCCTTTTTGGCAGGTACAACTCCAAGATCACCGATGAAGTTCTTTAACCATATTGCCTCCTTCGACGCTTCGCTCGCTGAAATGTACTATGATTCGCACGTTGAATCAGCTACGGTTTCCTGCTTGGAACTTTTCCAAGTCACTACTCCTCCATTCAGGGTAAAGACCCAGCCCGACTGCGAACGGTAGTTGTCCCTGTCGGTCTGAAAGCTGGTGTCACTATACCCTCGCACCTTCAAGTCATCACTCCCTCCGAGGACTAAGAACCATTCCTTCGTCCTCCAAAGGTACTTAAGGATATTCTTAACCGCAATCCAATGGGCTCTGCCAGGGTTCCCTTGATATCTACTAACCATGCTCAAAGCAAAGGCTACATCAGAGCGAGTACAATTCATAGCATACATGATTGAGCCAACTGCGGAAGCGTATGGTACTCGGCTCATTTCTGCAATTTCAGTTTCGGTACTTGGACTTTGAGTCTTACTTAATTTGGCATTACTTTGTATCGGTAATTCTCCCTTCTTCGAGTTTTCCATACTAAAACGTTTTAGTACCTTATCCAAGTAAGTGTTCTGACTAAGTCCTATTAGTCTCTTACTTCGTTCTCTCACTATCCTAATTCCCAAAATGTAGGAAGCCTCTCCGAGGTCCTTCATAGCGAAGCACTTCCCGAGCCAGGACTTAAACTCCTGCAGAGTCGGGATGTCGTTTTCTATGATTAGTATGTCATCGACATACAAAACGAGGAAGCTGACTATACTCCCACTGGCTTTGACATATACACATGATTCATCTTCACTTCGTAAAATCCAAACTCTTTGACTTTCTCATCGAAGCAAAGATTCCATCTGCGAGACGCGTGCTTAAGTCCATAAATGGACTTATCGAGCTTGTGCACTCTATTTGGATGCTTTGTATTGATAAAACCCTCTGGCTAAGCCATGTAAACATCCTCAGCCAACTTCCCGTTAAGGAAGGCGGTTTTGACATCCATTTGCCAAATCTCATAATCATGAAATGCAGCAATAGCTAGCATCACTCTAATAGACTTTATCTTCGCAGCTGGTGAGAAGGTCTCATCATAGTCAACTCTGGGAGTTTGAGTAAAGCCCTTCGCAACTAATCGTGCCTTATATGTGTGTACTTTTCCATCCATGTCGGTCTTTTTCTTCAAGATCCATTTGCACCTAACGGTCTTACGTCCGGGCAGATTATCAACCAAATTCCAAACTTTGTTTTCATACATGGACTGAATCTCGTTGTCCATCGCCTCTTTCCATTTTACAGACTCCGGGCTTACCATGGCTTCCTTATAGTTATTAGGTTCATCTAGATTTATTAGTGTACCATCACTAATATACGTATCCCCTTCGGTAGTAATATGAAAACTATAGAACTGGGGTTGAACTCTAACTCTTTCGGAACGTCTAAGAGGTAATGATTCGTCAATTGGTTCAACCGGAGTTTCCTCCTCGGGTTGAGTGCCAGCGGTAGAGGTTCCTTCATCTATCGACTCTTGAATCTCTTCAAGCTCGATTTGCCTCCCACTGTCTCCTTGGCTTATGAGTTCTCGATCTCAGAAAACTCCTCTCCTCGCAACAAAGACAACATTGTCTTTCGGTCTATAGAAGAGATATCCAAAGGATTTCTGTGGGTAGCCGATGAAAATACATCACTCACTACGAGGTTCAAGTTTGTCATGAGTATCTCGTCTGACGAAAGCCTCGCAACCCCAAACCTTGATATGTGCTAACGAGGGAGCTTTCCCTGTCCACATCTCGTGAGGTGTTTTGGCAACCTTCTTAGTAGGGACTCGGTTAAGGATATGGGCGGCAGTCTTTAAGGCCTACCCCCAAAAAGAGATAGGTAGCGAAGCACGACTCA